AAAAAAAAAAAGAAATCGCGTAAACAATCGAACAATCTTTAGAATCTTTCGAGTAAACGAGCATAGTGTTTGAAAGTGACTCGCGGGATGATCGGGAGTGGCCTTCGGCCGAAGGAGTGCGAAGTCAAACTTCACGTTTTGATCGACGTGGAGAAACGCCGCGAACAGCAAACACCTTCGAAGCGGATCCGATTTAGTTTCTCGCGCACCGATTGTCTTCGCTCTTGTTAGTCGGTGAAAAGTCTGTAAATACAACAGGTGTCCCAGCCCTGATCCTTTTTCGGTTTAGTTTAGTTGAACGTGAAAGTTGAACTCTCGCGTGAAACAGCTGCCCGCTGAAAGGCCGTTCGATCTCACAGATCAGAGAGAGAGAGAGAGAGAGAGAGAGAGAGAGTTTAGAGAGATTAGCGCGCGCTTCTACTCACTTGTATTTCGCTCGGTTCTTCTACGTACGGACACAAATTTCGATTGAAAATCGCTTCGCTTTTATTCGTGACATCCGTTTCTTCGCTCGGTTCTCGATGGAAAAAGAAGAAAAAAAAGAAAAAATCGGCTCTCAGTTGACTCTCCAGTCGCTACCGGCGAGCAGCTCACTCTTTCCTCGATCACGATCAACGGCATCTAAAACACCACGAAACACCCCTGCTCTTCGTTTCCATATTCCTGTGTAGTAACTTTGATCTTCACGAATCTCGGCGATTCTTGTGTTCTTCTATTGTTTTCTCATCTACACTCTAGTGATGTAAGAAGATGTTCACACATCGAATTCGTTCACTGTTTCTCTCACGATTTCCTTTACGACTTTGTTCCTTGCACAAAATACTAAGTACGGTACACGAGTTTTCCCTTCCCAGAAATCCTGGTCGAGCGATTGTTCCCGAGCAGCGGAGACGAAGATCGGTGAGCTGTTCGCCACGGTGTTCGTAATTCTCCCTTGGCCGTCGAAACGGTGACCAATGCAATCAATGGTTCGCATTCGAGCGAAGGGAACTAATCGTGCCGCGTTTAAAAGGCTCTCCGCAGAGGAGATCCGAATTGCCGCGAGCCGAAGGCTAAGCGAAGGTTGTTACAATTTTAGTGCGTTTACGCAAGAATCGCGATCTGTGATATTCTTAAGCAGTACTTAAGCGACTCGGGGGACGACTTCGACGCGCGTGTTCCCGACGACGTGCTCCCGAGATCCAAGGGGGGAAAAACTTCTGAGAAACGATGATGGATTCGACGAATGTTACAGCGAATCCTGCCCTTGTCATTGGCGTTGTCATCGGCCGCGCTCGAATCGCTCCCTCGTCGAATCGAAAGCATAAAGTCACGTTATTTAAAACACCGTTGTAAATGTAAATGGCTGATAGCTCATATGGCAAATAAATATGGTTTATATACAACTGGCAAGCAAACCACCCCCACCTTCACTGCATTTTGCACGACGAAGAAATTGTAATTACTTTACAATTTTTGTAACATCGAGTCACACGCGTGATAAGAATCAGAGCGTAAGTTTCGATTTTCGATTCGAATTTTCAATTTTCAATTCTTCTGAAACTGGAGATTATAATACACATATAATGCTTCCAATGTTTTACATTTGACACAATATAACGTGTTGTAATAACCAGTGTTTACTAAGAAGAAAATCGTGAGGGGTTAAGCTGTGAATCATTGTTACAAGAAATTCCCGATTCTGTTTTTCCTTTCTTCTTTCGTCGTTTAATTTCTGATTAATTGCTAGCGCTACCCTCTCCACTGCATCGATCTCTCCACTACTAGTGGAGGGGGTAGCGCTAGCGATGAAGAAAGTAGGGGCAAGGACCGCCAGTTAGCCACCTCTGATTTACGGCGTAATAACTTGCTGAACGCAGACGTCAAAGCAACGTCGTTTACCGCGTCGATCGAGAAACAGACGAGCGTCTCGATGTTCCTCTACTTCTAACCCCTAAACGAGACGTCCAAGAGAACCATCATCGACCGTAATCGAAAGCTGAAAATAGAGAAAATCTCGACTGCTCGTTTCTCGACTCGTCGTTGCACGCGTGGAAAATTCTTACACGAGGAAGAAATTCGAGGCTGCCCGCCCGTAGCCGAGGATGAGCTCTCTGATGACAGATGAACTAACATGTCACTGGCTGTCTGGCATCTCCTGATTCTCTGGGTAACGCGATAAACGGCGTCGAATATAATAACTTTTAACGATACAGATAATCGAAGCTTCGCCCGGCATAAATTCGCTATTCATTTCGCGATCGATCTGTGCAGATGATACTCGCCTCTTACCCTAGAATGAACGCGGCGCGTTCCCCCTACGTGTCGGAATTCGAATACGTTCCGCAGCTACATCCCTCCAGGAACCCCGGCTGTCCGTCACGGTTCGTCGATCGCGAGCGAGTCGACGAGCACTCGGAAAATTCGGATCGGCCGTCGATCGAGATCAGGGCTGTGCTGCCACGTTGCTCAGGATTTGGAAAGAAGTGAAAAATAACAATAGAATTTGATTGGTTTGAGGCTGACTCTTGGTTTATCGTTCGTAGAACGTTTACGGATGATTTTCACGTTCGTCGGAAACGTAGATACGACGAGGAGCGCGACCGAGGAACAATAAGAGACGATAACTGCACGAGGAAGATACTTATCAGCATGAGGTTCAACAATATTGGCAAGGTGTTCTGGTTATAAATTCAGAGAGTTTTTGTTGAGAGATTAAATTAAATAAATCCGTAACGGAGGGAAATATTATCGTCAGACTGAGATCGAAGAGAAATTCGTGGTGATCGATCACGCGTTCGACTCCGTGACGATGAGAAAGATCCCACTGCGAAATCCCTACGTGATCAAAGTTCGCCAGGAAGCCATACTGCAGTTGTACGGGTTGAAATTTCAAAGCGTGAGTATCAACAGGGACAAGCAGCTGAAATTCTCGACGAAAGGACGTTGTACTTGACACTTTATCTACCTGTCATGATGCAAGTTGTCGCTCATTAACGATCGACTCAGTTCGGCGCGGTTTTTTGGCTATCGCGCGAGGATGTATGTTCCTAGTTACCAATTTACCAATTTCTCAATATAATTATTTCTAAATTAACATTCGTATAATAATATTACTCTTCACGATATGAACTAATTTTTTTGATATTTCTTTAAAGTGTGATATCGCTCTTATGTAACAGAATATTGTAGAAGATATTCTGCTTCTTATTTTATTCGATAATCTACACTAGTCACAATTTTTCAAGTTTACAATTCTTTACGCCTGACGAGCCTCTGCGGATGATCGAATATCAGTTAATCATTAAATAAAAAAAGCCGATTAATCTGGTAGATAAAGTGTCAACTGTCGATGACTCTGCTTATCGTACGAAAATTATGTCGATTTCTCTTTTATCAAACTATGATAAAAAAGAAACAACGTGTCGCAAAAAACGATTAATTGGTTTCTGGTAGATAAAATGTCAACTGCCGATGACTCCGCTGGTCATTTATTGTACGAAAACTATGTCGATTTCTCTTTTATCAAACTATGGTAAAAAAGAAACAACGTGCCGCGA